TTTAGATAACTTTTTAATTTTATTTAGTTTTATTTTTTAATTTTGTTTGGTACCAGGAATTGAACTTGGGCCCTTGTGCTTGCAAGGCAGGCAGCAGAACCACTGAGCCGAATCCCTGGCCCTACTTTTTAATTTTAACAGGTAATTTGCTCATTTCTTTTATCTTAGTTTCTATGACTTATCTAAGACAGTATCTCCAAGTTACACTGCATTTTCCTCTAAAAGCTGTATGATTTTAGCTTCTATGTTTGACTTTATAATCCATGGCTAACGAATTTTTGTGTAGGGTGTAAGATAGAGAATCAAGGCCCCCCCCCAGAATATCTACTTATTCCACATCATCTGATGACAGCACACTTCTTTTGCACATTGGGTTGCTGTGGTGAAGGTGAAAGTAGGGTGAGGAGGGAGGTGTGCAGAAGCCATTTGAAGTTAAACCAATGACTTACACTAAAGTGAAGAGAGAGATTTATCTTATTAACAAGGTGAAGACAGGGATAGCTTTACTTAACACAAAAATGGGTTAAGAATTCACTCATTAGAATTCACTTTTTCCATAAACTCACTTTTAATGCACCTAAAACATCCCTGATAGCTAATTAGTCTTTGGTTCTACATTGTGGCCTGCTTACCCCTTTCCACCGTCTGCATAACAGGTCTCCATTTATGCTCCTGTCATTGAAAGGAACCAGGTGTGCTGAGGTCCAGGCTGGGGCTGCATCCATTAGATGTAACAGACCATATTTATCCAAGATTATTAAATAAAACCAAATCAATGATCAAGTTTGTTTGTTTGTCTCACTGTACTGTAACTGGAGCTTCTGTTGTCTTTTCAGCTGTAGGTTATTTCATGAAGATTCTAGAGCAATAATATTACGGTATATTTGAGATGACCTCCAAGTGAGAAGGATTCTCAAAATCCACAGACTGGCAACAAATCTCAGATCACCTGCATATAAATCACCTTTGTGATACATACAAAATGCTTAATATCTGCCCCTAAACATAATGGTGAAACAACTGGCTCAGGGACTGTGACCGCCTCAGGAACATCCTAGACCTGACAACTGAAGATCTTAGTATGTCGATATACTTGTTAGACTTTTGTAACTGCATTTTAGGCCATTCTCACTTAAGTATTTCTCAAAAATGGAGATTTACAGTCTTGGTTAACAAGCATCCATTTGACAATTTATGAAAAAAAATTACCCCATTTTTCCCTAAAAAACTGCCCCTCCCTTATACCCAGCCTCCATGTTTTGGGTAGGGGGCTGTACTCCTAAATTCAAGGGTGGGCATTTGACCCAAAGCTGCTGAGGTGTAGAATCACAGCTGCTGACCACGGTGATGGGTGCAGGTATGTGTAGAAGACAATCTGATACAAGCACAATCAGGTGCATTTCTTTAGCTGGAAAGACAAAGAAACACTTGTATGTTGGTGTTATCACATCAGAAGAAGAGGAACAGGGAAAAGCCAGACTAGGAATGAAGCTCTTAAGAATGAAGTTTTCAAAGAACCCAGAGTAGGAATAAAGTTAAAGCAGAAGTCAGCACAGAAGAAAACAGAACCAAGGAATGATTAGTGACACTCTTTCAGCAGATAGGTCCAAGTATGTCTTCACTGGTCTTTACACAGTATTTTCCAACGTATGTGGGGAGAGGAAAGAAAGAAGGAACAAAAAATAAAATAGTAAATAAAACTTTCTTTTTTGAGTTGGCTTTCTGCCCCCTTACAACTGCCTTCCAAATCCATTTGGATTGGTGGATCCCATCTGGTTCTACTAAATCTGAATTTCTGACTAGGGAGCAAGGAATCTGCATTTTCAACAAGCAGTCTGTTTAAATACTACATGCACTAAAATTTGAGATCTGATCCAACCTGTTCATTTTATGGCTCAGCAAACGGAAACTTAAAGGAGTAAGATCACTTAACATCACCTGTTTATTCTAAGTGTGTGAGCATGGTCAGTGGAAAGAATAAAAATCTCGGCCCCAGTGGACATCACGAGCCAGCTATGAAGACTATTTGGTTTAGCTTTCTTTATGGTGACTTGGTGTCTCTAAATACATTCTCTATTAGTTTTCTTCCTTACTGCAATACATTTTTAGTTTAAAATGGGAAAGCAGAAGGAAGTCAATGCAATACCCACCCACCTCCCATTTCAAGCAGCCAAAAGGTCTTTAAAGACATTTGTTTTTGTTAAAAATGCATGTACAATGTTGCACTAAATTTCATTACATATGCAAGAGTTTTAATAGAAAAATAATTTCTTATAAAATCTTAAAGTAAAAAATAAACGTTCCTGGCCGGGCGTGGTGGCGCACGCCTGTAATTCCAGCACTCAGGAGGCTGAGGCAGAAGGATCTCTGTGAGTTCGAGACTAGCCTGGGCTACATAGTGAGTTCCAGGACAGTCTCAACTACATAGTGAGACCCTATCTAAAAAAAAAAAAAAAAAAAATCCTGGGGCAGGGATTTAGCTCATGGCACCATCTTGCCTCACCAGTGCAAGGTCCCGAGTTCGATCCCTGGTAACCCCCAAAATAAATAAATAAAACAAAAGCCATCAGTACTATTTGGCTTGTGTACACCAGCATACCCTCAACTCATCCAGGAAGCACTTACTTCTACCTAACTTGTATCACGTTAATTTTTTTATTCTTGTTTATAGCCTACAATTCTTTTCTATTAGAATAATGACAAACAGCGTTAATAACAAAAGAAGTAACTGTTAGTCTTTACTGAGTACCAACTCCATGTGCACTGTATATCTACTAACTTGTGGAGATGGGTACTATTATTGCCCCAGCCATGTGAATGAAGAAACTTGAGACACAAAGAAATAAGGAGACTTATCTTGGTCATAGAGGTAGTAACCAGCTGAGCTAGGATCTGAATCCAGGCAACTGGACACCTAAGGCTGTTTTGGCTACATATATTTATTTCAAAGTTCACTTCAAATATAACTTCCTTATGCTGCCCCTTTGTATTAAAAACTCATGGAACATATAAAACGGATGATTTTTATTGTACATAAATTACAAAATACAAGTCAAGAAAGTTAAAAAATTTTAGTGAAGAAAGTTGAATAAAATATTATGGTCTTGAAGGCTGGGGATTTAGCTCAGTGGGTATATCTCTTGCTTCTCAAGCGCAAGGCCCCAAGTTTGATCTCTGATACCAAAAAAACACAAAAGTATGGTCTGTAGAACCAATTTGTTAGAATGTAAAGATCTGACTGCCCAGTGAATTGAACAGCTTTAAAAATATAGATGTGTTCACAGGACTAAACCTACAAGAAATAGTTCAGGTTGCCTTATGAAAAAATACCTAATGTTCCCAACATTTTAACATTTAGAGAAGTGTGGGGGCATTATTGCAACTTTCTGACTTGTACGTGACAGGCAAATATAGCTTCAAAGCAAGAGATGAACTAAAATGAATAAGCAACTAACATAGTGAGACCCTGTCTCAAAAAACAAACAAAGAAATAAAACAACCAAAAAAGAATAAGCCACTGACAGACTCAATGTTTAAAAACAATGAACAATAACACCAATATAGTCTAAGGACATGCCTATGACACAGACTTGAGTTAAAACATACTACTGATAGTATTAGTAGTTTGGCCTTCATTGCAAACATAAACACATAAGCTACACAAATCATGCCCAGGTCCAAACAAGCTTAGAGACTACTAGCATGCTTAAAATGTGGGCAAACTATCAAAATATAACTTCATTTTTTCATATAAGCCCAATTTTCATCTTTTATTTAGAAACTGGAAGATCTGACATTTGGCCCTATCAGCACCTTTCCATTCAGACAGAAAACAAACACATTCCTCACAATGCCACAGACCCTAGCACTGTTTACGGTCTTGGACCACTTTGCTCACTGCCATCCATGCTTGGGCCAAGGTAGATGTAAGAGTTCACAATTTCTACTGTATGGAATAATGGCTGAATTATACGGCGCATCTCCAAGGTCCTTTCCAATTTGGAGTTTTGTTTTGTCTGAGCCTTTTTAGAGACCCTTGGATCCACTCTCTCTGAATTCCTTACAGGCCCCTCCACAATACACTTTCTCATTCTCAGAGCTTCTGTCCATGCTGGCCCCTTTTCCTTTCTGCCTAGAGAAATCTCACTCACTCTGAAGACTTAATTCAAGTGTCAATTCCTCTACGGAACTTTTGTAAACCCAGCCAGCTATCTGCTTCTTCTTAAGTGTTCCCATAACACTGTGTCTCTGCTAGCATTGTAATAACTTTTTGTCTGTGCGCCCCCCAGATTTGTTTCTTATAGAGAATTCGGAACAACCTCCATATGTCCAATCTCTTACAGAGTGCCAGGTATCTACTAGACATGAAGTGAATGTTTACTAAATACACACAAATAGCATGAATGAATGAACAAATACCTGCATGGGAAATTCTGCATTACAAGTCTATATGAAGCTTTTGATGTTTACAGTAAGGGAAATAGCTACTGAAGATTAACTTTCAAATTTTGATAAGGATCGTAACGTCTTCAGACAGCAGTTAAAAGTTCCTGTTCATTGTGTCCTCTTTTATCCTTGAAAACAAGTCTCAAAAAAATAAAACGTATATAATATTAGTAAATATGAGTGATTTAAGATTAACTAGGTGCCAAACTTTTGTGGGATGTGGGAGTTGTAGTGCGGTAGTCAAAAATGGTAGAGGGCTAAAGAAGTCACATCATGTCTTCCTGTAGGTGGTGGCAGGGTATTCTGGCAGTGTTTACTCTGGAAAATGGAAGACTTGGGCCACAGAGTGGCAGAATAGAACAGCTTCTCCAGTAAGGTATCAGAGGACAAGGGTTAGTACCTGTAACCCTATACTTCGCACAAGGTAAGCTGCACTAACGTATGATGAGTAGAGGTTCCATGCAACTAGTCCTTTATTAGTTGTGAGCTCAAATGATGTACGTCACTGCTTAGCCATAGCAGGCAAATGCCAGCAAGAAACCTTCCAGGCTGACCTTGGTTTTTGCAACTGCTCATGAAAGATCCAAGATGGTGACTGTTCCACTAGGCTGAGACCTGGAATGAGAAGATACAGATCTGACCTACTGACATGCAGCGGACTCATAGCATGACCAAGAAAACAGCCTTGCTGTAATTGGCCACTAAAAATTGGAATTATTTGCCACTCCAGCATAACAAAGTCTATCCTTATTAATACAGCATATTTATTCTGTTTTGTTGCAAATGTCAGAACTAATTATTAGGAATTTCAGGAAGACTGATTCTGTGCAATATTAAGAAAAAATGTAATAAAGTACACAAAGTTGTAATGAACTACTTTGGAAATAATTCACTCATTCACATAATACACACTGGACTCTATTATGTGGTAAAGACTCTGTAAATAAAATGTCTGCTATAGTGGAAGTAAGTAGTGAGTGTTCCTTCACCAAGATGCCTATATTGACTGGCCCTAAAGGTTTGACTGGCACAAAATAACTTTTAAAAACGCCTTCTGTGAGAGTGAACTGATGGGATTTACTGAAGAAGGAAAACCCACCCTGAGTGTGAGTGACACCAACCAATAGGATGGTAGCCTGAATGGAATAAAAGGGAAAAAAGAAGAAGGAAGGCTCACTTCTGTTTCCTTGGAGGAGCTCCAGTCTTGGCCTTCACCCTCTCCTGGCTGCCAGTGCAGACCCTTCAGCACAGACGCCTCTTGAAAAGGACTCACGGGCACTACAGTGAACTCCAGCCTTCAAGTAGATTACCTAGGAGCCACAGTATACAGCAGCCCTTCTGCACTTTCCCACACCTGACTCTGTGCCATCGTAAGCTAACCTTGTATATTCTTACATATGTGTATATCTTGCATTTAATCAGTAGGCACTCATTAATATATCTTCCAACTTAGAGCTTCAGGACCTCTATTCCTGCTCTAAAAAGAAAAACAATCTGTTTTCTCAATTCAAACCCTATATTGACACACTGAGCTACTTTTTCATTTCAGGGTCATTTCCCTACCAAATAAGCTCCCCTAAAGGTCAATACTGTTTTGTCCCACCCCTTGCATCTTCCTTATTTATTTTTTGGTACCAGGGCTTGAACTTGGGTCCTTGGGCTTGCGAGGCAGGTGGTGGCTTGTACATTATTTGTTTGTTTGGTTTTTTTTTTTTTTTTTTTTTGGTACCGGGGATTGAACTCGGGTCCTTGCGCTTGCAAGGCAGGCCACCGAACCACAGAGCTAAATCCCCGGCTCGTATATTATTTAGTAGGCAATATTTTATTGCGTTCTCTTAGGAAAACTAATCACTAGCTTTTGATACTAGCCACTATTGACCAATGTATTTCAGATTTAGTTGTCTTTTAGTCACTTACATTTAAAATCTAGTAGCACCAATGTATGACTTAGTCCATTCTCACAGCTATACCAAAATATCTTCGATTGGGTAATTTATAAGAATCAGAAACTTATTGGTCACATTTCTACAGGCTGGAAAGTCCAAGATCCCTTTAGATTTGAGGTCTTGTGAAGGCTATTCTCTGCTTCACAGATGGCACCATTATTGTGTCTTTTTAGCATGGATGGGATAATATAGCTAGCTGTGGCCTCTTTTATAAGGGCTCCACCTCTTAATACTATCATACTGAATTCTGTGGAGACATCAACATTCAGACCATAATAATTAACCTAATAATTTTCATCCAAGGTGCCTTTATCTCCTAAAAAAAAAAAAAAAAAAAAAGACCTTAGCCTTTTGCTATTGAATTTGTGGCCACCTACAATATTTCACCAACATCTTCATTCAGTAAGCAGTTAATGAATCCCTACTATGTGCCAGGGAGAAAGGCTTACCTAGGAATTTTTCAAACTATATTAGTTAATACATTGCTCGGAGCTGTGTAAGACTATTTGTATGAGTGGGGTGGAGGGGATCCAAAAGGTTTGTGACACAATGTCTTCTTGGTTTAACCCAGGAGAGTATCATCCATTAAATCATGGGAGGTTTAGTTGAGAATTTGGGGAAATAAGTATATAAGTGTGTAAAGGCGAAAGACAGCAATCTTTTTTTCTGAATTTCAAATTTCTGTTAAGCACCATTTCAGGCTTTCGGAACTGGAGAATCACTGCCTACTACAAGATATTAATAATAAGCAATAGACTGAGAATGTATTTTTTCCACACTAAACCTCCTGTCTTTCTCAGATGGAGGCACTGGTGTCGGTTAGGCAATTCAGCATTTTAGTAAATCAAGGCAGGAGAACCTGATGGCTCCCGGGATCCTCCCGTCGGGGTAGAAAGTGGATCAGAAAGGAACACTTGTGACTCACTTAGTTCTGCCCACTGCATCATTTATATGTTTTTACTTTGCTTTACAGAACCAGGAGTTGAGGTTTGCCCTTGAGTGTTGGGGGCGGATGTTTAGTTCTCTTAAAGAACACTAATTGATAATTTTTTTTATTTTTTTGTGCTTTTGGAATTGTTTGTATAAATTATCAACCAGGAAATAGTAAATTTCAGTGACTTCAATATCCACGGATGAAGGGTGGGGAGTTTGTCAGAAAGCAGTATCAACACACAAGCTCTTCTCCTTTATTTAGAAAAGCCACACAAAAATACAGCACAGTTGATGTTTGTTTCCGGGACTTGAAACGTGAATCAACCACGGTGTAAAAGATAAAATAAGACTTCACGGATATCAGGATTTTTCCCAGTGTGCTTTATTCATAGACATCTGACAGAAGAGGACCCAACAGAGCTTTTAGGAAAAACTGAATTCTCAGCCCACACTCACTTTCCAGGAACTCCCTGCAAACCATGGTCTGCACTGGCAGGATGGCAAGCTTAGCAATCACTCTCCTGCTTTCATATTTCCTTCTCTCTAAATACAATTATTTATGGGACTTAATGAGGGACCAAGCCTTGTGTGAAAGGAACTAGAGAAAGTGCAGTTTCTAAAAATACACCCAGGCAGCTCTGTAGTCTCTATTGTCCTAAACGGACCTTTGGCAATTCATACCCTGAACCTACCAACTTCACTCCTGGCCAAACACATACAAAGAGGAAAAGTAAAAATGGTTCTCTTCCTGCAATCCCAACTTTGAGTGAACAGTAGTAATTTTCTGTTGTCCTAACCGATGCAAATTTCCCCAGAGCGACACCCGAAACAAAACAAAAGACCTGTTAGCTTCCTCCAGCTGGGGAGTGGGGAGGAGAGGTGAGAAGGGAGGGTTAAAACTGATCCAGTTCCAGTTTTTCCTTAGCCTGGGGTCCCGATCTTTCAGAGGTCTTCCGAGTTTCCCCCTTTGCTAAGGCCCCTCGGCCCTTACCTCCCGAGTCCGCTGTTAATGAAACCGGTATCTCTTGCCCGCTCAGCCCCCAGCTTTTTTGGGGAAAAATTGGACATCAGCGTAGGCGTCTCGTTCCAGTGGGCTGAAAAGTACAGCTGCTGTCATGAGGATAAATACTGAAACAAATAGGCTCGGGCACAGATTAGGGGTCGGCAAAGGAGGCCCCCTCGTTCTCCGTCCCCCACGTGCGGCTCAGCTGGGGTGCAGAACTCCTGGGTAGGGGGCTGAAAGGGACGCTGATGGGATGAAGGGAAAATAGTCCAGGGTGAAGGGAACTAGGCCCTCTAGGAAAAGATCGTCTCGACTGAACACTGAAGAGAAAAAAAAAATTGGTTCACTCGTCGCTAGTGGAGAGTGTACACCCCACGCAGGCTAGGGTGTGTGGGGTGCTTCGAGGCCTCTCACCTGACTTCCTCCTCCGCTGGCACGCCCCAGAGACTCCCCATTGTTGCCCCCCCAAAGGCAAGCCAAACAACGAGCCAGAGGAAGCCGCAAGCGGCAAGAGGAGGGGTGCGCGCGGTGGGGCCCGCGAGGTGAGGGGGCAGGGTGAG